AATATAAAAAAAAGAAAATATTTAACTGTTTATATATTATCTTGCCATCTCATACTTCAATAGAAGATTCATCGAGGTACGCACTAATGAGTCTGTTCTAATATATAATAAAATTTTCATGAAACTGATTAATGTTAAATATGCATAAAGGTGACCTTAATTTGATAAGATTTCTCTTCCAGTAAACCTTATAGTGGAAAGGTAAGTTTTTCTACATGTGTTTAGAGTATACATCTTAATTTATTTAGTAATATTGTGAAACAATTGCCTTTTAACAATTTTTATTAGAATATATTTTTATTATGAATAAACCTTAATACATTTCCTTTAATGTTTTATAGTTAGTTCTCCCAAAGGTAACAAAATGGCTGAAATACATATCAGTTAAGTGTATTAGAAAATGAAGGGTTTGAATATGAAGATAATAACTTTATATTATTGGAAGTTGTCTATTATTTTCTTCTTTGTATTTTAATTTACTCATATTGAGAGATAATTGTGACCTGTTCAATCAGTATTTTATAATGTAATGATGAACATATGACTCAGTGAACAATATTTGCCTGCCAAGTCATAGGCTCCGGGTTGTACCATACAAATATATATACATTTACTAAGTATTGCCTTCATACCCTGTGATAGTAAATGACCCTATTGACGAGGTTGGTCAAACAAACCTTATTAGGTAATACCTATGGGATATGTTTAGTAACTACTTTTATAGGATTGTTTATTTAATATAACTTTTTTTTTATTTCTTAACCTCTGAGGGTTGAGACTACAAGAGGTACATATATTAAAATTCTTCTAGCAAATTTAGTTAGTGTTCTATATTTATTTGACTTAAGTTGCTATGAAGTCATATGTATATTATACAAAACTCAAGAAGTTGATATGCCATTGTAAGAGATATATTTATTTACATAGACATTTCTGAATATTTCAGATTTGAGTTCATTCCAGTCCACTTCCTTAAGCCCTAAAGCTATTAACAATGAATTCTTATTCGTGTGACCCCATTAATGAAAATACAACACCAAATGCAACACCACCTTTACCACCCAGACGCAGTAGTAGTAATACTCACATCACGGATAAGCGAATGTCATCAAGTAGAAGTAATCGCAAAGTTTCATGCTCTCGCAGTAAATATAGGAGGACTGCATCGCGTTCTCCTGCAGAGAGTGATAATCGCTCTCATACGTCGCAATATAGTCATCGTAGAAGCCGTTGTCGGACACCAGTATCATCAAGGAATCGATACCGAGTCATGTCTCGGACATATAATAAACGACAATCACATGACCGAGGTAGCTTAAGTAGCTCGTCAAAAGGAAGAAATTTGTTGTCAGAATCGGGACGATCGGGAACAGAATATACTCAAAGGCATTCGAGAAATACTTTGAAGCGAAGTAGATCAAATTCTTCAATTTTATCCAAAAGCCATAATTCTAAAGTACGGTGTCATGGTTCACGCGAGTCACTTAGTTTAAAGGAAACACCGAATACAACACTGCTAGAGCAATTAGTTAGTGTTCTCAACAATAAAATTAATGCTGGGTCTCCTGGTACTGCCATACATAACGCTCAGCACATGATAGCAGAATTCGACCCACAAGCTAAGTCACAGACAATGAAAGATTGGCTTTCTAAAATAAACGAGTCAGCACATGTGTACGGGTGGTCAGAACGTCAAACGATATTCTGTGCTTTGCCTAAGCTGAAAGGTTTAGCCAAACGTTGGTATGATGGACTAACAAGCATTAAATATACCTGGTCGGAATGGCAAGATAAACTTTTATCTGCATTCCCGTGTGAGCAGAACTATGGGGACTTGTTGTCCGAAATGTTAATACGAAAAACAAGACGCAACGAAACATTGGAAGAGTATTATTACGACAAAATTATGCTTGTCAACAGATGCGAACTTAAAGGCAGGCATGCGGTAGATTGCTTGACTCACGGAATATTTGATTCAAATGTGAGAATGAATGTGCAAGGAGCCAACCTTCAAGAACCTGAAGAAGTCTTGAAGTACTTTAGAAATATATCGAGTAAGGTTGTAGACACGGTTAAGAGATACACTCCGATTAATCGTGATAATACGGACCACAGTCACATTAAGAAAACTATGGACTTAAACGTGAGAAGACAAGTTCTGATAACATGTTTTAACTGTGGTGAACAAGGTCACACTGTCACAAGATGTTCCAAGGAGCTTATTAAATGTAAAAAGTGTCGACGCTATGGTCACACAGAAAAAGACTGTAATGGATTTACAGATCCAACCAAAAAAGATCAAAGATTAATCCTAAACACCACGAATACAACCAAAAGTGTACTAAAGATTACAAATAACGACAGCAGAGGCAATAAATACTATAAACAAGTTAAAGTAAATGGTCAAATAATATCAGGTTTTATTGACTTTGGTAGTCAGTGCACGTTATTAAGAAAAGATTTAGGATTAAAGTTGAACATCCCGATTGATAACATCAATTTACCAAAATTGAAGGGATTTGGCAATGGTATCTTAATTCCGTATGGCCGAATCATCATTCAAGTGGAATTAGATGGAATAAATGAAAGAGTAGAAGCCTATTTAGTGGAGCCCAATTTATTGCCAGCAGATGTTTTGATTGGACAATCCTTCACAGAACTTCCAGATGTACAAGCGTATAAATCTGACACTAAATTAACATTTTACAAGAAATTGGGTACTCAAACTGAAAAACTTCCAATAGTTATTATAGAAAGCGTTTTACTTTCCGGAGTAACAATTGTTACATGTGGCACAACAGTTAAAGCAAGCGGTTCTATTTTCGTTTCTACAGATCCCTGTTTAAAGAAAGGCAAGGAATACATGGTGATTCCGGGGGTGTATTCTATAGAACACGGAAAGGGGACCGTCATCGTGATCAGTTTAAATTCAGAACCATTTAGTTTGCCACAGGGTACGTTAATCTCTCGAGCGACATTCATTTCAAACGAACTATTGCCTAAAGTTACAACAGATGAAACTATAATAAAAAATATTAGTAGCATAACAACAAACGACTCGACTAAGACTATAACTGTCGATCAGCTTAACGTAGACGATGGCCTACAATGTGAAGTAAAAGACAGGCTACTTGAAATAATAAATTCACGACGCGATTGTTTTGCATTTTCACTTGAGGAACTGGGACAAACTTCTCACGCTGAAATGCACATCAAGCTCAAAGATGATGAACCGGTAACCTACAGGCCATATCGACTCTCATTATCTGAACGCGGGAAACTCAATGCCATCATCAGCGATATGTTGACTAATGGCATCATACGAGAGTCAAAATCTCAGTACGCTAGCCCTATAATATTAGTCGCAAAAAAGAACGGCGAGTCAAGGCTTTGTGTTGACTACAGAGCATTAAATAGGAAGACTATTAGAGAAAATTTCCCGATGCCTCTGATCGATGATCAGATAGATAGCCTCTCCGGTCAGGTTTTCTTTACGACGCTTGACCTTACTTCTGGATACCATCAAGTACCAGTATCAGAGGAGTCGAAACCACTAACGGCCTTCGTCACTCCAGATGGGCACTACGAATACAATCGTATGCCATTTGGGCTGACCAATGCTCCGGCGGTATTTCAGAGGCTCATTTTGAATCTTCTAAAAAAACGTAATATTCCAGGAGTTTTAGCATACATGGACGATATAATAATTGCATCCAAAACAATAGACGAAGGAATGGAAAAGTTGCAAGCCGTACTCGACTTGTTAAAGGAAGCAAACTTGACGTTGAACCTTACGAAATGTAATTTCTTTAAAAAATCAATTAACTACCTTGGATTTGAGATATCGCACGAAGGTGTAAGGCCAGGTCTTAAAAAGATTGAAGCTGTTGCTGCCTTTAAGGTGCCCGAAAATGTACACGAGGTTCGTCAGTTTATAGGCTTGTCGAGTTTCTTTCGACGTTTTGTACCGGGCTTCGCCTCAATTGCCAAACCTATAACTTCTCTTACAAAAGCAAACGCAACATGGACTTGGGATAAAGACCAAGTAAAAGCATTTTCTGAACTTAAAAGAATATTAACAACACGCCCAGTATTAGCCATTTATAATCCCTGCTATGAAACCGAATTGCACACTGATGCTAGTTCCTCCGGACTAGGCGGCATCTTGCTCCAACGTCAAAGTGCAGCTGCAGCGTTTCGACCTATAGCATATTTTAGCAGGCAGACTACAGCCGAGGAACAACATTTTCATTCCTATGAACTTGAGACGCTGGCCGTTGTCGCATCGCTTAATCGATTCAGAGTTTATCTCATTGGCATTGACTTCAAGGTTGTTACAGATTGCAATGCTTTGCGTACAACTTTGACCAAGAGAGACCTTATACCGAGAATAGCTCGATGGTGGCTCTTGGTCCAAGAATTTTCATTTTCAATTGAATACCGTCCAGGAAAACAATTAGCTCACGCAGATGCACTCAGCCGAAACGCACTATCTTCAGAAAAGGCTAATGAATTCTACAGTTCGAATAGCTTTACTAATGTGCTACAAATAGGAGAAGTGCATTGGTTACAATCGGTACAGATGAGTGATCCCAGACTTTGCCATATAAAGGCTGTATTGGATGCCAAAAGTCAAGAGGCAAAAGACATTCAGAATAACTACGTACTGAAAGATGGTAAGATTTATAGGAGAGTTGAAGGCCAATTACGATGGGCGGTACCTAGAGATGCACGGTGGAAGATTTGTCAACAGTGCCATGACGAAGCTGGTCATTTTTCCTGTGAGAAAACATTGGAAAAAGTGAAAAGAGATTACTGGTTTCCTAAATTGACTCAATTTGTAAAAAAAATATGTACGTGCTTGTATTCCATGCGCACATGCCCGACAGCCAGGCGGTAAAAAACAAGGATTTCTACATTCCATACCAAAACCTTGTAACCCTTTTCAATGCTTACATATTGACCATTTGGGTCCCTTTCTAAAAACCAAACGAGGTAATATGTATATTCTCGGTATAATTGACAGCTTCACAAAGTTTGTGGTAATAAAAGCGGTCAAAAATACAAAAAGCAAAACTTCGATCGACGTTCTTAAGGACGTATTCGGACTATTCGGGGTACCGCAAAGCTTGATATCTGATCGGGGAACTAGCTTTACTTCCAATGAATTTAAAACATTCGTTGAATCAGTAGGACTTAAGCACATCTTAAACGCAGTGGCTACCCCTCGGGCTAATGGCCAAATTGAGCGGTATAACCGCACAATCCTGGCGTCGATCACAGCTTTATGTCATGGAGAGGATGATAGGAATTGGGACCTTCATATTAATCAGGTGCAATGGAGTCTCAATAATACAGTGAACCAAAGTACTGGCAAAAGTCCTACAGAAATTATTTTCGGAAAAAATACGGTAAATGCTTCTGAGACTCACCTGCACGAAATAATTTCATCTAAAGATATTTCGCCCGAAACTATACAGAAAATCAGGAATGAGGCAAGTGATAAGTTAGTTATACAACAAGCGACAATGAAGGAACGGTTTGATAAAAAAAGATGTAAGGCCAAAGTATACAAGGTCGGGGATTTAGTAATGGCACAAAAGAGTACCAGGACACCCGGAGAGAATCAGAAACTTGTCCCAGCCTTCAGTGGCCCATATCGCGTGACAGCAGTGTTGGACCATGACCGTTATTTGATTTGTAGCGTTGAGGGTTACTCAAAAAAAAAGTATAGTAACGTTTTCCCGGTAGATAAATTAAAGCCTTGGGTGACATTTAATGATTCAGAATCCGAAAGTGATTACTGCGACAGTAACTAACAATTAATCTAATTATTCACCCGTACAAATCGTGTAATTTTTTGTGTTATTTATACTACTGCCCTGTGATTCTGATATAGTGTGCTATTCAAATATACAAATTTCCTTAATTCCTTGTCCTGAGTATTCTTTTCCAACATCCAGTCCTAATTGAACTCTATGATGCCAACGAGGGTGCATACATGGTGCCCTGGCAGTAAAGCAATGCTGATATCCTAGAAGACTGGAGGGAGACCAGAGCACCTTGTGTGTGCACACGGTGCCCAGTAAACAATGAAATTTCCTGGAGCGAGGCCGAAGCATCTTGCGAATGCAAACGGTGCCCAGACTTGTTGGCTGTTGATGATCTGGAGTGAGGCCGAAGCACCTGGTGCGTGCAAGCGGTGCCCAGACTTGTTGAGTTGAAATGAACTGGAGTGATGCCGAAACACCCTTTGTGTGCAAGCGGTGCCCATTCATATAAAATCTCTAGAGAGAGGCCGAAGTACCTTGTGTGTGCAAGCGGTGCCTAGAGATTACTTAATTTCGCTGGAGTGAGGCCGAAGCATACTATGTATGCAAGCGGTGCCCAGCCGACCCAATTTGCTGTACAGATGCTGTGAACTTCTCGCGAGAAAGGGACGCTGAACAAACTCAAGGCACATAATTCCAACATCTAAACATTGTACAGAATGGGGACATTCTGTGGTGCGGGATGGCCGACAAATTATCAAGCTACCAGTTGTAATTTTGTAATTTTTTTTGCAATGTGTAATATTTCATTATATGAATGTGTTCCAGTATAATAGACAATTGATGGTTACATTTGATTCCAATAACATTTTTTTAATATTATTTTTTTCTTGTGTCTGGGACAGCCACCATTTCAGGATGGCCGACTGTTAAAAATATTAATTTAAGGTTTTAATTCTGTCCTTTTTATTGTTTAAATATTGTTATTTAAATTACTTGGGAAAATTTGTATAAATCACTATGGTATTAATAGCCTCCTAGGGAGTTGTTTTTATATAACTGGAAACTTTTAGAAAAAAACGGAGGTCTAGTAGTTTGAAATTTGCGGTGTTTAAAAATTAATAACAGATTAAAAGATTTAAACAGTCTAAACTTATTATTTCTTTAACAATAGGAAGTGTTACAATTAAACACATCCGTAATCGTTACAAAATCCAGTAGACATTTACTGACTTTCTTGTTTTGCCGAAAACTTTCAAAGCATGTTTTTGATATTTTCTATAAATTAATTTTAAAAAGGCTTTTCATTAACCTTGGAAAAATATATTTTGTTTAACATTTGCCGTTTGGTATTTAGCAACTCAGATTTGCAACAAGAAATTATATATATATATATCTACTACATAATACTTGGAGTAAGCCGTAACACTTATCAACATGTTAGAATACGAAAAGGCTACTTATTTGTTCAATTCCCTGTACGTTAAAGTTAAACATTTATTAATAGTTACATCACTATACGTTTTGAATTTTAAAATGTAGCCCATGCAAATCATATTTCACATGAACTATCAAATTACAACAAAACTCGAGCAAGTTCTATTCCTCCAGCATTTCTTTCGAAATTTGTTAACATATTTGGGTACGTTAAGAAACAATGAAAGTACTCGCGGATACTTTTAATATTAATCAAACAAAAAGATTTAACTTTTGGCTTAAAACATTTCACTTTATACTTTTACTTTACACTTTATTGATACGTGAATGTCGTAAATAGAACAGCAAACTTGATTACGACATTTAACATAAAAACAAAAGCGATAATATGATACGCGAGTCGCATCGTAATCCTTCACAAACGTAATAACAACCCTCACACTATTCAAAGATTATATGTGGACGGTAACGAGGATCTTTACCCCACTTTTGATTTTAGAAACTATCCCACTTCTGATACAAGAAATTAGAATGTAGAGCTACAGGAAAAGGCTTTAATCCCACTTCCGATTTAACAAACTAATCCACTTCTGATGTTAGAAATTAATCTCAAAAGTATTTAAATAAAAGAACACAACTCGGGAACAAACCCTGCTTACTATCAGGACCCCCAATTACATGATAACACCAAAGTATGCAAACCATCACATCCATCACTATTTGGCTGCCCTGTGTTAAATTGAGATGGGCTCAATGTAACACAGGGCAGCCTCTCAGCAACACGACCTTCCTTGCCTACACGTAGTATACCCCAACGGGCATAGTAACGACAGTGATATTCGTAGAATTACAGACTGATGCCTCTTAGTCGTTTTATGTTATTCATTACTTGTGAACTTAAGTTTAAAATGTGGCTACTCACTGAAAATTAACCGTAACAAACGGTATATATCTTTATATATAAAAATTACGTGTCACGTTGTTTGTCCGCGATGAACTCCTAAAGTACTAAACTGATTGCAATGAAATTTTACACACTGTGTGCAGTTTGGTCCAACTTGAGAGATAGGATAGTTTTTATCCCTATAAGTGACTCTCAATATTTTTATTACGTCGTCGGAGAGGGCAGAACAACGTCTGCCTTGCCAGCTAGTATATATATATATATATATATACAGTTTTTAAAAATACGTGTAAATAAGGTCTCTACTTTGAAATTATCCTAAATTTAATATGATTTAGGTTTAGGGGCACCAACATTTTTGCCTACCGATCGACCCTTACGAATGTGTGCGTGCGCAATAAAATCAGTGATAATATATATTAATGACATTACCACACATTTCGAATTGAAAACATTAAAGGGACTGAATGTTTCAGAGTTTTTTATTAAATTTCGTTCACCATTTGCCTATATACGTGGTAGAGCCATGCTGCAGCTATATTAGTGGTATAGTTGTAGCACGAATGGGTCGGCTCGACCGGGGAAGGACCACGCTCTCACAGAAAACCAGCGTAAAATAGCAGCTTAACGCTGCTGGGTTTCGTATGGTGAGTGTAGAGAACCGGAGACCCTTTTTACTGGCAAAGAGGCATTCCATCTTAGTCCTCACGGGTGACAACGCATCTGCATTTTGAGTCTTTATTGAGGATAGATGTAGATGTCTATGGGTCGCAGTGGCCACTTACCATCAGGTGGACTGTGTGCTCGTTTGTCACCCTATCCTATAAAAGAAAAATTACTTATTCTGAACCTTCTCTGCAATTTTGGTCGGTTATTGAAAAATAACCCTGTACATATATTTTGTCACGACTACTAGGTAGTATGTCACTATTTTGAAACCAACTATGATTCTCGCCAACAATGTTACGCAATCGCACTGTAGCTGACAGTAAAATATTTGTATATTAATAGCTATGGATTAGTGACGGCACAGTAAGAAATAATGAAGTTTTAATTGCTCTTAGAAAAGTTCTATGCCTTACGCTTGCCTTGTTACATGTTTACCATAATTTATACGTGCGTAACCTTTAAACCTACTGAATAAATTTCGACATAAGCTATAAATTTTTAATATCAAGGGATATTAAATGACGGTTTACGACACTCACGATATGGGACAGTGGAATTCTACCAACGCAATTACAACTACACGGTAGATTTTTTTATTAACTGGGTGGTAATATAATCAATTTGGGTTGTAGGCCGTAGTAGTTCTAAGCTCCGTAAATTTGCAGTACACAAGCATACCCGGTTCGAGCCCGGCCAGCAACGATAATCGATTAAATGCAATGTTAAGTTCTGTTTCAGCACATACTCGACGGTGAAAGAAAACATCGTGAGGAAATCTGTGTGTGTTAGAAATAAAATTAAAAATATAAATTTCATAGACAACATAAGACATCCGACAAGCATTATGGCAACACGGCAGACACGAAACTGTCACAAAAATAAGAGGAGGCCTGTGCCTAAGAGTCGAACGTAGACTGTAATATACTAATTATAATTTTTAAAGTTCCAGCCTATAGATGCCTCAATACAGGCCATGAGCCATAGGTAGAGGCCTCTTCTAATTTATGAGAGAGCTAAGGACCAATTAGTTAGTTATCTATACATATAATAAATCTGTAGAAAAGTCGTGTATATGTAATTCTAATATATTCTTGAAAAAAAATCAGGTCCAGGGGACTACATAAAGAGTTTTGAAGCCAAATTAGTTGTTTTTAGAATTTTGTCTGTCTGTCCGTCTGTGTATTCCGGATTCACGCAAAAACTACTGGCCCGCTTTACATGAAATTTTGTATGTAGGTAGTTAGAACTGCATAAAAAGAAGGTTAAGTATTTTCCATCCTTTAGATGTTAATTTTCTATTATATCTTAGTTACAGGCAGGGTGATGGGTGTTTTTCAAATAAATACCATAATTTATAAATAAAGTTCAAAATATAGTTATAACCTTGGTAAAATAATTTGAAACTACACCAATTTAGTTATCAAAACAGCGCCATCTATCATCATATGGTATTAATAAATTTCATACGTGGTAAGAGCCATGCTACAGCTATATTACGATTAGTTGTATAGTTGTAGCACGCATGGGTCGGCTCAACCGGGGAAGGACCACGCCGGACACCCTTTTAACTGGAAATGAGGCATTCCATCTTAGTCCTCACGGGTGACAATGCATCTGTATTTTGATTTATAATAGAGGATAGATGTAGATGTCTATGGGCCACAGCAACCACCTACCATCAGGTGGACTATTTGCTCGTTTGTCATCCTTATCCTATAAAAGAAAAATAGAAAAGTAGTATATTTTGCCTTCAGTTACTAATAAATTAATTAATATAAATAACTTTCATTTATATGTTTAAATAAATATATTTTTAAAATTAAGTGCGTATAATAATTTCAATAGATAATAGTGACGTCTATCAAAAATATCAAAATTGATAAGGTTTTTATTTCAATTACTAATCTATATGTAACCTGACTAAAACTGGTCTGTCTGCAATTATTGCAAAATTTTCATTTTACTAAGAAGATTTTTATATAGGTCATGGCCAGAACGTAGAATTGATCATATATCATAAAGTAGTCTATCATTTCGT